TGTGTCTACCTGGAGACTGCAGACTCCTGGGGAAGAACGGAAGTGAGCACTAATGTGCAGCGGGAGACGGCCACTGCCCAGCTGATCCAGAGTAAACAGTGTACACCCAGCAGAACAGCAGCAATGTCCACAGGACTGAGCCTGCTTGTGAACAATGTGAGACACCAGACGGGTCTCCCTGGGGGACATTTCAGAGCCTCTAAAAATCCTGATTCAATTGAGGACTTAGAGTCAGAATATTACTGTTAATGTGACCCAATTTGTGTCCATAGTTTGTGAGATCTCAATTATAGACAGTAAGAAATAACTCTTGTATTAGGAAATCAATGCCCACAAGAGTAGAAAGTTGCAGAAAGGCAACATACCTAACAGAGGGTCATCTGGGAGATCGTTAAGTAGAGGTGAAGGATAAAGCCTCACTTTGGAACTGAAACTTTGTAATTTGAATCAGGCAGATGAGGAAGGGTAACTGCCTGGATGAATAACAAGAACCTCTTCTTGAATAGAGCATTCTCAGATACAGACTCGGAAAGCTGACTAAGTTCAGGTTTAAAACAGAAGGCAAGGCAGTAGTGTGGACCAGGCAGAGGGTGCCAAACCATTCAATGGGGCCAATGCTTGGCATCCTTCTAGTACCATCCCACCTCCACAATAATATGCACTAAATGACTGTTTCATTACACCCAAAGACAATCAGGATATTTTACCAAAGAAGCCAGCACAGCAATGGAATTATTTACAGGTGCAGCCATTCCTAACACAGTGGCCAAAATGCTTTAAGTCCTTATTCCAACGTAGCTTATTTCTAGTTTCCCAAATTACTTGGAAAAACAAATTACCAAGTTCTTATAACCAGAAAAGTTGCTTGGTGAGTGTGGAAGTAAAGAAGGGGAGGTGAAAGCCTGGTGGGTACTGTGCCAACTCGTGGGGCAGCCTGAGGATTCACCCTGCTTGGCAGGGAATCTCCTCTGGTAAAGGCACTGTTTGGTTTCCCCCGATTCAGTCCTGCAACTCTGCTGTTCTAATTTCTACTCAATTTCTGTTATATCTAAAATATCTTTAACTGTCATTAATGGTCTCATAAAATTATGAAAACAAAATTGATTTTAATTTACTTTAGTTAAAAAGAAATATATGTGTACAATCAAGTGATCCCACTTGCTGAGTATATACCCAAAGAAATGGAAATCGTCATGTTGAAGGGATACCTCTATTCCCATGTTTATTGCAGCTCTATTTGCAGTAGCCAAGAGTTGGAACCAATCTAAATGTCTATCAAGGGATGACTGGATAAGGAAATATGGTATATGCGTACTGTGGAATACTACTTTCTCCTAAAAAAGAATGAAATTCTGCCATTCACAGCAACATGGATGAACTTAGAAAAATTATGTTAAGTGACATAAGCCAGGCACAAAAGAGAAATACTGCATGTCCTCACTCATAAGTGGGAGCTAAAAAAATAAACCAATTTAAAAAAAGAAAGATAGAGCAATTACAATAATTCATTGAATTTTCAAAAGGAGAGAACAGAATTGAGGCCACCAATACCCAGCAACATGGATGAATTTAGAGAAAATTACATTAAGTGAAATAAGCCAGGCACAGAAAGAGAAAAACCACATCTCCTCACTTATAAGTGGGAGCTGAAATAAATAAATAAATAAATAAATAAGTAAATAAATAAACAAAGTTTAAAAAGAAATATACAACAATCACAATAATACGTTGAACTTTCAAAGAAGAGAACAGAACTGAGTTTACCAGAGATGGGACGAGGGAGGCGGAGGGGAAAGGGAAGAATTGGTAAATGGCCATGAAAATTGATTACATTGTTTAATGTTGAATATACTAATTATCCCAATTTGAACATCACATATTGCACACAAGTATCAATATTCAATGTTTTACTGTACATATATATGCACAATCAACTATGTTCCAATAATAAATAAATAAATAAATTAATTAATTAATTATTTTAAAAAGAACTGAGGCCACCAGAGGTGGGAAGGGGGGAGAGGGGGCTCATGTAATGTTAAATATACTAATTATCCTGATTTGAGCATCACATATAGCACAAGGGTATTGATATTCAACACTGTACCCCACAGGTATGTACCATCAACTATGTTTCAATAAAAAAATACTATACGTATGTACATTCCCTAGCATACTTTCTGAAGATAAGTTATGAAACTATACCAATAACATTAGAGTTACAGACCCCACACTCATTGAGAATCACCAAGTTAAGGCCCAAACAACAAAATTTAATGACTGTAAATGGAATTAAAAGATTTAGTTGTCCATGAGATATATGTGGGCGGTAAGTTGGATTAACAGTGTCTTTCACTCTACCGTCCTTTGTCTGAGTTCATGGAGCCAAAAAGTTCTATATAAGGGATTCAAGGAGATCATGAGTTTCTTGAAAAGCTATGAAATTTTGTGTGGATATGCATATGTACATCTTTCTGAGGAATCTATAGTTTTCATCAGCTTCTCAAGAGATTATATAATTTAGAAGTGTTTAAGAACTTAAGAAGTTCTTAAGAAGTTTTTAAGTGTATGAACTTTGAACTTTAGTTTATACATTCTGAAATCAAATTAATGCAGGAAAAATATACACTTTCAGGTCATGTATACCACTAGGGTAATTTTTAAAAATATTTTATTAATTTTTGAGAGGAATCATTTCTCATGTCCAAATAGAGTTATCTCAGATAGTTAGACCGCATATCTAAAAAAGGAAGGCTAATTTTTTTTTTTTTTTGCACATCTTGGTGCAAGTAAAACATAAAATGGACTTACTAAGGCAATTTGATCTGATCTTTACAGGGTACCTTGCATAAGGGGTGGACGTTTCTTTTTGTTTTGTTTTGTTTTGGCAGCTGGCTGGTACAGGAATCAAAACATGGACGTTGGTGTTATCAGCACCACACTCTAACTAACGGAGCTAACTGGCCAGCCCTAGAGGGTGGACATTTCTGAAGTTCATCCTGACAAGTACTCTTTCCTCCTACCTCTTTCCTCCAGGTTAGGTCATGTTTTGTTTCTTACAGTTTCAGGGGTTTTTTTCTTTCCTTACTCCTGTGTTACTGTTTTGGTTTTGCCCTGTTTTCTTTGTTTGGTTGGTTTTTTAACTGTTCCAGTTTTTACAGTTTTTATACAATAGTGTAAAATAGTGTTAATGTAGGTGAAGCTTCATCCTTGATCGGGGAAGAGGACATTGAAATGTTAAGTTTTTTTTCCTGTGTGGTCATAATACTAACCAGTGAATTAAAATATGTGAATTTTAGTTCTGGCCTTGCCACCATGTAGCTAAGCAATGTTGGGCAAGTCATTTAACAATGTCTTCTTCACATTTCTGAAAAAGAAAGCTGAATGAGATTTTCTTTCTTTCTGGTTATATAACATTTTAAAAGTCTAAACCGTCAACAGTGGGAGCCAAAGTTCTTTTCTGAAATCCCATTTTGCATGACATCAGAATGAGCTCCGAAAGCTGAATGAGATTTTCTTTCTTTCTGGTTATATAACATTTTAAAAGTCTAAACCGTCAAAGGGTGGGAGCCAAAGTTCTTTTCTGAAATCCCATTTTGCATGACATCAGAATGAGCTCCATGGGGGCTGAGGGCATGGGGCTCTGCAGAGTGTTAGACCAGTACTCTCTCTGCTCTTCCGGTTGGGTCAAATCATTCCTCTCCAGCACATATCAGGTCAGCAATGCTGGGGATGTTCAGGTTGGTCCAGATAATGACCACACACTCACCCCTTCACACTGAGCCAACCAGCCTGGAGTGGATGAGGCTGAGTTGTGTGGGTAGATACATTCTCACAGACTAGTCTTTCCAGTTTCAGCTTTGGTTCCTTCACTCACCACATCCCAGTTTTATGAAACTCAGAGCAGCCGCTCTTAGCTCAGCTCTGAGGAGTTGATGTAGAAGTAAAGAAATATTGTACTAATTTTTTCTTAACTTCTATCACATTCTTTACTTAAAGTGACAGATAAATCTACCTTCCTGGCCTGCTCAGTTATTAGTAGGCTAAGGTCAATTGCTTCACATTCATTTAAACTGTAACATTTATTTCCTGAAAGTAATGAGACTACAATTCATTGTTTTAGTTATTTCAGATGACTTTATTACTAAGAATCCATCTAATCCATCTCTCAGCAATTAGCTAGTAATTACAACCCCAAATAAAAATTTTGTGTGTATCTATCTAATGGAACTAGACAGAAATAGACCATACGTGGAAGATTCATTTTCTCCCAATCAATATTCTCACTCATCACTAAAAACAGAAAATGTCCTTAAAAGTTTTAGTATTTTAAATAAAAGTATGTACCACTGCCTTTAATCTTCAACCAAAGGACAATTATCATTGAAGCCCCAGAATGTGACTTAAAAATTAGCAACACTTTCGGTAGATTCCATATCTTGCTACCTATCAAAGAGAAAAACTGGGGGTGGGGAAGGAAGCTTTCTATGGCCCTTTTTACCTGTTGATGAAGAACATAGGTTTTATGGGCTGCAACACACGCACAAAATTCCAGGTTGCATCAAGGAAATTTCTACACACCTAGAAATTGGAGGATTGGCAACTACAAGTTGTGTAGGGAGGAGTGGGAGGAGTCAGGTGGCGTTGGGACATCCTAGGCAATGTTTCCAACCTACTTTATGTTCATACATTCCCATCAGCTAAGCTTGTTTAATTTGCTTTAGAATCTGGAAAAGAAATTACAGCTGTAAAATATATGAGGTTTTGAACTACAGATTTTTCTTCTGACTTTAGAATTAGCTGTCATATTGCCAAGAAAAAATAAATGCAGATGTTGGACCATGTCAGATATCTTGTCAAGAGAGTGGATTGTTTCACACAGAATGGAGATGTGGCTTCTGATTCTGGTGGCGTATTTGTTCCAAAGAAATGTGAATTCAGGACACATGCCAACTACAGCTGTGGACCCGGAAGCATTCATGAATATTGTAAGTTGGGATTTTCCATAATTTTGGGGGGAAATGAAGTGCCTTACGTGTTAACATTTGCAGCTGCATATTATCTGCCTTCTGTATTATATTTAAATATGGTGATAATTCTTTCTAGCAGAATGTAGTGAACAAAGTAGCATATTGTACTGGAAAGAACGCTAAACTGGGTGTCAGTAGACCTGGGGTCTCCTCAATCAAATTCAATAAATTTAGGATAATGGCTTAATCCTTTGGGCTTCAAACACAATGTAACTTTCCTTTGAACTCTTAGGTTTATCCTGTGAGCAGAGAAATCACTGAAATATTTTGGGCCAAGCCCAGACACTTGATGATTTCTGTTTTGTCTGGGCTTTCTCTTCTTTTTCAACTTTCTCCCGTATTATAAAGGTATTGGCACGCACCTCTTGCTTTCAGGGCGCCCACGTCTACTGGCATCCTGTACCATTCTTATCTGCTCTTTTTATCCTGTTTTGGACTGTTAACTCTGTTGAATGGTAATAAAAGGACCCTGAGTAAGTGCTAGAGAGAGCTTCCTATGAGGAACATACATGAATAGTTTTATGTCTCTTCAGGTCTCCCTGAGAATTCTTTTTTTTTTTTTTGGCTTACTTTCAAATTCTAAGTTGGATTTTAGTAATGGCCACCATATGGCAACACTCAGCCTATAGCAGGCATTGTGATAAAAGATTCAGAGATCCATTTCACTTCATCTTCATTCCCCATGCAGCAGATATGATCATACACATTTTTCAAATTAAGGAACTGAGATTAAAGAGGTTAAGCAAGTTAAACAGGGCCACACCCCTGGTACATGATAGAACTACAATTTAAATTCAGGCCTGCCTAAACACAGAGCCTATAATTATAAACACTATGCAATTAACCATCACAGGAAAGGAGGAGAGGCTTCCACCAGATGAATAAACTGATTGTGTGCAATGTCCATGCTTCATAGACTTTTCTAACGAGGAACTGAGATTAAAGAGGTTAAGCAAGTTAAACAGGGCCACACCCCTGGTACATGATAGAGCTACAATTTAAATTCAGGCCTGCCTAAACACAGAGCCTATAATTATAAACACTATGCAATTAACCCTCACAGGAAAGGAGGAGAGGCTTCCACCAGATGAATAAACTGATTGTGTGCAATGTCCATGCTTCATAGACTTTTCTAACACCTCACAGAAATATGAACTTTAACATGCATACAGATTTAAGACCCTTTTTACAGAAGCCTCCGTCTATGGGTTCTAAAACTCTGACAGGCCATAGAAATGTTCTGAATCTGCATGGTGCTAAATATCAGGTTTCTTTTGACCATTCCAATGACTGTCTTTTGATTATTTGTCCAGATAGTTAACACACTGGTGCCATCTTTCTGGCCCTGAGAACGTCCCCCGCAAATTCCTCTGGTTTAAGGGTGGAGAGAATTTCTCTAGCTGCAGATAGTCAATCTTCCTGGGCCCCACCCACTGGGCGTGCCCAGCACCTGTACACTGTTGGAGTTTCAGGAGCCTGAAGACTAAAGCCTATTGAACTGGGTCCTGTCATTGAGCAGTTATACCTGGACAGGCAAAGTAAAATAAGAAATTTAGGTGATTATTGGCGCAAATTCAACAAAATAGAATAAAAGTAGCTGAGAGTGTAAATTGGTTTGATTCTGTTTATTGATGTTATGATCTATCCTACACAGTCATGCACTGTATAATGATGTCACTCTAGATGGACCACACCAAGGGCAGTGGTGGTCCCATAAGATTATAATGGAGCTGAAAAAATTCCTATTGCCTACTGACACGATAACCATGGTAAGGTCTTAGCTCAACACATTTCTCATGTGTTCGTGCTGATGCTGGTGCAAACAAAACTGCTTCACTGCCAGTCGTATAAAATGATAGACTAGATATGTGGTAGACTACATCATCTAGGTTTGTGTAAATATGCTCTATGATGTTCAGACAGCTACAAAGTCACCTAACAATGCATTTCTCAGAACATATCCCCATCATTAAGTGACATATGCCTGTAGTTTGGTATACCACAGGCTTTACTGACATATTTTTTAACAAGTGTTTATTGCGCACCTACTAGGCCCCTGATAGTGTGCTATGCACTAAGGATAGAGAGAGATGTAAGAATATCTGAAGCCCTGACTTTACGGAGCTTCCAATGCAGCTGGAAAGACAGACACTTAGTTACTAATTACAAGAGTAATGACGTTTAAAAAAAAAAAAATGTAGGGGGAATCTAGGAACCTTTCCCAAACCAGGAAGCCTAGGAAACGTTTTCTGAAGAAAGGTTTCTTAGCCTGAAGCCTGAAAGATGAATAGGAATGACTTGAAAGGGTGGTGTCCAAGAGGTCAGCATGTGGGACAACTGGAGCAGCTAAGAACATGCCATATTCAAGGAGCTGAGAGTAGGCCACATTTAGTTGGTCCTTTAAACACTGATTTTTTTTTTTACAAAAGTATATATTCATTATAGGGGCCGGCCCGGTGGTGCACTGCTACAGTGCGCCGCTTGGGAGTACGACAGCGCTCCCGCCGAGGGTTCAGATCCCACATACAGACTGGTTCCCGCTCACTAGCTGAGTGAGGTGCGGGCGCAACGCGGAGGGTTGCGATCCCGTTGCCGGTCCCGGTCCGGTACGGGCGCGACACT